ATTAGATCTGTAAATTCTTTAACTTGCTGGAATTATCTGTCTTCATTGAATGAAAGTTTTAGGGAAAGAGGTGAGAGAGAGCAAATAATTTGAAGTTCCGGAAGACATAGGCGGGAAGGCAGGCCTGAGAGAATCAACAGAGAAAGGACTTGGCTTGGACAGTCTGAAAGACAGTAATGAGGGCGGTCGATGCAGAAGGATGGGAAAAGGGTGACACCAGTGGGGTCTTAAAAATAGGAATAAAAGGGCCTGGAAATCACCCTCTTTTACAATCTGCCCAAGTCCAGTCTTCCCTCCGGTTGTAATGCCTCCTTTAAAACACATGAACACAGTTCTTCCAAATGATTATACAATTTTGGTTTTAGGGTCAAATAGTTGATGAAGCAAATTTAGTAATTGTTCACTGTTAAACCAGATACTCCAGGGCCCCTTGGCCAGGGTGTAACCATTTAAAGGTTTGGGATTAGAGTTTCTAGCTTTGAGAATGTTTATCATCCATTTTATTAGGCACCTTTAACCTGGCCAAGTGGTGTCTGTGTCCTTTTCTTTGTAAATTTATACTGGCACATGGGTCCTAGGTCGCTAAAATTATTGAACAGCATTCATTAAAAAGTTACAAAACCACAAAACCAGTTAGAGCAACACACAAGACCTCTTAATGTACACGGTCCAGAAAAATGACGGAATTTATACGTGGTCAACCAACCACTACAGACAAGGGTTGCTTTATATTCTAGTTCTTTAAAAGTCTCTCATATTACACTATGTTCCCTCAGTCACTTTATTTTAACCACAAGTTACGGTTTCAGGAAGACATACCAGCCAGAAACAACTTTAATAAAAAATGCTAACTTTCAATGTTTATAGAAATCCCTTGGAAAAATCAATTAAAAATATTAGCCAAAAATTTTTTTTTAAATCCAGACTTAGTAATTTTCTTGGTGNGACATCACAGTAGCAATGAGCACATCTAGTACCTTGATCTTGGTTTCTAAATACTATTCTCCAATTTCAAAAAAGAAGAAGAAGAAAAAAAAGGCTCCTTGAAGAAATGAGAATTTCCAGAGCTGGGACTGGAATAAAATGGAAGATAAGCCTGAAGCAGCTTGTGGTGGACTGAGTAATGGCTCCGAATATGTCCAGGCCTTAAAGTCTCCAGCATCTGTGAATGTTACCTTATGTGGCAAAAAGGACTTTGCAGGTGTTATTAAATTCAGGATCTTGGGATGGGGAGATTATCCTGAATTATACAGGTGGGCCCAAGGTAATCACACTGTCTTCATAAGAGAGCCGAGGAGGTCAGAATCTGAGAGAAGGTGATGTGACAACGGAAGCACAGATTGAAGTGATGTGGCAAAGAGACAGGCAATGATGGCAGCCTCTGAAAATTGGAATAGGCCAGTCCCCGGAGCTTCCAGAAAAGCCAGGCTGCCTATCCCTTGAGTGTAGCCAGTTGGGCTGATTTTAAACTTCTGACCTCCAGAATTGTAAGAGAATAATTTTGTATTGTTTTGAGCTCCTTAGTTTGTGGTAATTTGTTACGGTAGCAATAGGAAATGAATGTAGAAGTGCTCAATTTTTTTTTTCATTTAAAAAAGGGTCAGGACTTCCTTGGGGTGTGGCTAGGAGAGGACAGTGTTATGACACATCTAAACTGTAAGAATTACGATCTAAGGACTTTTAAAGTCAGACGTAACTATGCCCTCCTGAGGGATTATTTAATTCAGTTCAAATCAGAGATAATTTTGGTAACCATGGCCATCATTTTAAAAAGTGTTTTTATCTTTTGAGATTCTAATTCATTTACTTGGAAATCCAACAGAAATCTATATATGAGCAGCTTGCTTTAATGTGAATCAGAAAGAATTAACTCTCTAAGTGTCTTCCTTTCTTCTTTCCCTCCCACTTCATCCTTTTCTTCCTCCCTCCCTTCCTTCCCTCCTTCCTTCCTTCCTTCCTTCCTTCCTTCCTCTCTCCTTTCTTTCTTCCTTCTTACCTTCTTTCCTTCCTCCCTCCTTCCCTCCCTCCCTCCTCCTTCCCTGCCTTCCTCCCTTCCTCTCTCCTTTCTTCCCTGCCTTCTTTCTTTCCTTCCTTCCTTCTTGATTGCTAGATTGGTTAATTCACTCATTCATTTGTTTTTACATCTCACCTGATACTGGGGCCCCAAATCTACCAGTCATGACATCAAAGAAGTTTCCGATGTTGGTCTCAACACTGCTGAAGATAATCCCACTGTTCTGATTACTGAAGTGAGTTGCCAGAGAAGCCATGAATGCAATCTAAGGAAAGAGTTGGTGGTTAATTAATAGGCAATCTATATTGAAGAAGTAAGGTTTTTATACAAGTAAATTTATTTCAAAAAGTGTTTGTAATAGCAAGATGGGAATTAAGTTAAACATTAATCTATGGAGAATGAATCAAATAAATCATGGTAATTTCTAACATTTTCATGCTATGCAGCCATTAAAATGATCATATATATATCAA